AGAGAGACTCTCGAGGAATGCGCGATACACACGGAATTAACAGGCGAACGTCCGAAATGCAGGCGCGAGTACGCCCGGTTGTGCGTTGCCAAGTCCCACACGTAATACACATATAATACATGCGGTCGTAAAACGCTAACCGCGCGATTACGATCGCTTCTTTCAACACCGCGCTGAGAGCGTCGTTACGGCTAGCGTTGAAAGGTTCGAATATGCACAGAGTCCGGTTATAAAAAATCAACCATAGTACCATCGGTGATTTAATCAACGGATACGGGCCAAATACGCTCTCCTTTAATCGTACAGAAATTGCGTAAAAGTCGCGATGATTCAGATACTTTAGCATCTGATCGGCGGTAATAACGAGATGACGGAGATTGCAACAAAATTGCAATAATCAGCAATAATGTTACCCGCAGCGACGATCGGGCCTTAGAAACCGAGGACACGAGCACTAATTGCACGCTCAAGACACAACACGCACATACGACGAGATGGAAAATAATGCTAAATAAGGTGTCGCTTGCTCGAGTTGCGAGTCACTCGCTTTACGATATTTGCGATATCGCGCCGCATATTCCCGACTCTCCATTATTGCAATTCATATCGCAAATCAAGATATCTTTCGCGTACTAACTTTATTTAATCCTCTATTCGATACGCAACGAAATAATGTAATTATAATTTTACGTATAAAGCCATGTAATCTTATGAAATAATAACGCATGAAAATGAAAGAATTCCATGAAGAATTTCTATATTGTTGATACACTTCTGATCTGTCAAGATCAGAAGTTTATTGATTAACGAGTCTCCTAAATTTTTTATCAGAGAACATTTTGAACTTTGAAATATACGATGCAATTCATGTAACATATGCATAGCGGTTCAAAAAATTTCTACACGGTTAAAAATAAAAAAAAATTTGGATGCAAATAAATGTAAAATAAATTTGACGCAATATGTAAAAACGTCGTGTAATTTATCGTTCTCACCGAACAACGGCGCTTCAACGAATGATTTAGATTGCGGGCAATTTCACACAGGGGGAAAAAAAAAGAGAGAAAATACATTTTGACATTCGTAGCGCGATATATCGACACACAGTACAGTTAAAAAATTAATCTCACGATAAGAAAACATTTCGTCTCGATATCGGAGTCATATCTATTACCCACAAACAGATTGACACTGCCGCGGACTTCCCGAGAGATTGCGAAACGAAATCTTTACTAATAACGTCCGGGTTACCACGTTGCGCAAGAAACGACAAATCGTCGCGCGCATTTCAGAGCGCATTTACACACAACACACATGTGCACACAAACACGAACAAATGTGCACGTGCGCGCGCGCGCCGTACAATTAATATCTGAAAAATTAATAATCGAGCTAATGTCGCTTCTTGCCGTGCTTCGGCGTGCCGCCCCGCGCCGCCCCGCGCCGCCCCGCGCCGCGAGTAAATCACGAAGGCGAGGTCCAACGTCCGGCCGGAGAGTAGAATGCCCTCGCAATAATAATAATTATTCTCCAAACGCAAGACCGGCAATTAGCATCTCATTGGCTCATTTCTCGCTTATGCTAATGGGAATATTATTTAAGCGCGTGTACGAGAAGGGTTGACCATCCTTCTCTTCCCTTCCACTCGTCTCTCGCTTTCTACGTCCCTCTTCGCCGCACAGTCGGCTTCCTCTTGCGCGCGCCCATACAGGTGGCCTGTCGCCTCGCGTTGCTCGCTTTACCGCCTTCTGTTACGCGAAAGACGACGTTTCGCCCCGTCTTTCTTCCCCCCTCTCCCCTCCCTATTCGGTTTATGTCGCGCCCCAAAGGAGCCAGGTCGCCATTCTGTCCGCCCACGTGGTGTCTCCTCGCGCCGTTTCCCTATTTAGCACATCATCGGGAAATTCTCCGCGATTTACCGGAACGCGCGCACAGAACCGCGTTTCAGAACGTGTCGCTCTTTCAAAATCTATCTAAAATCGTTCCCCGAGAAACTGGATCGTGGATTCATTCTTTAATTAATTCTTTCAACGAATTTGGTCACATTTGGTTCGCATACAGCCTAACAAATTCAAGTTCATGAAGAATCAGAAAAATCAGCTTCGCGTAAAAAATATTGTTATTTCTCTAAGCGACATCTAACTTATTGTTTACAGTAGAATTCTCTTTGTGAATTCTCATTTTATTGTTAATAATTAGCAAATGGTTGATACATCCAAAATGAGATTCTGTTTCACTCTTGATTTTCTCTATCTACATTGATTTCGTACAACAGAGTAGTGATTACAATTGTATCGAATTTGCTGCACTTGAAGCACTTTCACGCTCACTCAGACGTGCGTAATGGAAACGCTGGAGAAGAGAACCAGCAGAATCATCTCTTTACTGGCCGCTAACAACCGGCGAAGAAAACAGCAGAATCTCGCCGCGCTCGGCTCGGAAAGCAATCTCATTCGGTGACTTTTCCGTTCTGCGAAATTATCGGCAAAAAGCTCCGCTCGATTGGCGTACGGCGCAAGAGGAGGATCTTTCTCTCGAAAATAGAGGACGCGGTAGAAGAAAGACGGCCAGGGAATGAGGAGGCTCCGGAGTTCGAGAGAACCGAAGAGGAGAAGAGAGAGAGAGAGAGAGAGAGAGAGAGAGAGC